TTTTTTTTTTTTGCGTCATTTGAGAGACTAATCTCGTAAGTTTCTTACAAATTGCTTCAATCTTTTTTTTTACATAAAAAAGCTTTTTTTACAATTTTTGAAAAAGATTTTCTTATATACCAACTGGTCGTAGAACCAATGCAAAATAACTTTTTTTAGTATTTAATGAATGAGGACTTTAACTTCCATGACTCTGTTGTCTGAAATATACGTCAAAAAAGGAAGTGATTTCAATAGAGCAAGTTTTTATTATCGTACCTTGTCGGGCTGATCTTAAAAGTAGGCTATCTAGATCCAGAAGTGAAATGCCGTTTCTAGTTTTATTTCTTGTTTGATGTAGAAATACTGTACGTCTTTTGTTTCTCTTTTTTATTATTTTTTAAGTGTCTTGAGTACTGTTGAATTGAGTGAACTGAATTAAATTGTCTAAATGAGTAAATAACTTCATACATCATTTTGTTGTCATTTCTGAAATAATATACTCGTTCTGGGTCTGTTTAAACGAGCAAACCAAAGATACATTCCCTGAGTGAATAATTTGATTTATACAAAGAATGAACGAAAAATGAACGAACACTGCCGCTGATTTCTCGTTATTGCTGTTGTAGGGATTTTATCCAGATGTATTAATTCTCTAGACTGCATACAGCAGCTACAATAACACTTGATACGTGTACAGGGACCAGATAAATCATTCGTCTCACTTAAAATAGCCGTTGCAGACAGCTGTTATGTGCGTAAAACGACTTCCATTTCTCGAGCTGACCCAAAATCACTTCACACCTACCAACGAGGAACATGGTTATTGCATAACACCTAATTTAAAGTCCTTACTATTATTTCTTTTGACGCTCCTCTTGACTGATCTGCTTGGCAGACGATGGCGCTGGACAACTGCACTTTGGTCACTGTCACTGACTGTGACTTTGTTCTAACTATAGCAGGCAGTACCTCAAACAACAGCAGTGTCGAAATGACTGCTACAGACACGTACCTAAAGTAAAAACTGCTCTGTACCATTCCAACCTCTTTGGTGTAAATTGTGTTTCTGTGTAATTTAATATCAAAATTGTTCCATACTACTATAAAATCCCTCCTAGTCCATATCTAAAAATTTTCAAAGCTAATTGTCTATTAGGTTTGATTATAAGGTATGTCCTGCTTAAAACAATATATATCACAGCGATATAGAAATGGATAATTTCAATCGCCGAAGCTGTTGTTTATCTACAAGAAAGTTATCTCATTAAGTTGTCCTACCCTTGAGGAGTCATCATCGACTACCGCCTATTGTTCAGCGATTTAACCATTAAAAAAATTCTTTATGATACAAGTCATTTGTCATTGTACTGCAAAAACAGCACATTAAAATAATAGAAAAACTTTGGAAACAAGCTAACGAAAGTGAACAACAAATCCGAAAAAAACAGTGATTTTTCAAGTTTCATTTAGATAGTCTTTTAGCAGTCATTTCCTTCCAAAATGCGATTCCTCCCAGAAATTTGTTTCTTTCTGCAAGAAAGAATAATATAATGTATAATAGAAAAGAATAAAAAGCGTGCAGTCATACAATGGTAAATTGCTCTGCGAAGCACCGAAGATAAATTTCAGGAAAAAGCATTGGTTGTATACGTTTGTCTTGAGATTTTCTAGAACTTAACATATGGCTGGCTAATAGATTTAATACCAAATGATATTTTGCAGCAAAGATAATGTACCACAGCAGTATAGAATTAAAAACTCTAATTACCAGAATTAGAATTTTTTCCCAGAAAACCTGCCTCTAAAAGTATTTCATATTTGAGAAATAATCGCATAATATTTTTGACAATGAAGTACATTCTACATGACACTTACAATTTGCCATTTGTGACGCAGAGAAATAGCGTACCAAAAGCTCTTAATTTTAAAAGTCTGGCCATGAACAGTCAACCTTTAATCTTTCCTAATACAAGTTAATATAAAATCCTGTAAAACTGAAAAATAAGAACAAATTTTTAGAT